AATAAGAGATAATACCTCAAGCACCTATTGTTTCAAAGCTATTTTAATTTGCTCTGATTCTATAGTAACTCAATGCGGCTTTTATTCAAGATGACGTTAAACTGGAATAACTTTGTCTAACATTTATTCAATGTGAAAATAACCAAAACAGGTTGATTTGGTGATTGAATGTGTAAATTATGCTCAACTTTGGTGAGCATCGATCAGCAGAGACAGTGATCGTAAGTTCAAACAGAATGGATTTTCCTTTAGCATACAAAATGGTCGGAATGAATTAACTGTACGCCCGAAAAAATTATTTCGTAAGATGTTACTTGAACTCACCTATCCCTCAGCACTATAAGTTACCGATATTAGGGCTTTATTAAGTGACCTTAGTGGAGATTGGGTGGTTTAAGTCAGTGGTTTATAGAGTAGTTCTTGAAGTCCTCAGATACAAACTTGAATAAAGCACATAAACATGAAAGATAGTATACATACTTGTTTTGTCCCCCCGGAATGTATACATGTATAAGTATCCATAAAGTAAAGCTTCCTTGAAGCTGTTAATCTGTCCTTTTGTCAAAAAAGTCAATGCTTTTGACGAAAAGCGACGAGAACTTTACAGTGGTCGATCCGTAGATCACCAACGTAGATGATCTGTTTTGAATGATTTGGTGTCTACTTGAGTTATGTAAGAATGGCGTGACCAACCAGCTAACGTCGAAGTCACAACTCACGGTTAGTATCTAAGTGGATTACTACGGCTACTTCGACTGCCGTAAAACAAACGAAGTTATTACACAAATGTTATCAGGAGAAAGTACAAGAATCAGAGTGCGACTGTAGTGAGCTCATTCAACTCTCGTATTATTTGTCCGCTCACTGTAACTTAGACATTTATCCACTATGTAAAATTATGTGTGAGTCTGACTGAGCGCGTGAACATCAACCATTATCTATTCTCTCATTGGTTGTGAGACATAGAAAATCAGTGATTTGTCCACAGTCGATTAGCACATAAAAATATATTAATTTTTAGCACACACTCTCAATAGACTCCTTATGTACTTGCCATCTACCCGCTTGCGGATTTTTACCAGTCATTACCAATAGACTATATCTACAACTGATGTTCGGGCTTTTGAATAATCTCGAGCAACTTAATGATACTACTAGGAGATTTAGCCTGCTTAAATACTCAGCTAGTGGGATACTATTTATTGGGGTCATATATAGAGGAATGAACATCCACACAATCAAGACCGCATGGGCCCGTTCACGGAGTGCGATTGATTGATCGTCATTCAGCTTGACAAAGATCAATAAGCTGTTCGAAATTTTGTGACCCATCTGTCAAATAATTTGGCTAGGGCCCAGTCACATTTCGCTGGCTCTACTGCCCCATGGTTTCCAGTGACTAGTACGAATTTATATAGCTTAATGATTGAGACATACAAGTGATTTTTCATGTTAGATGACTGATAATTAATTGTAGCCAAATCATGATCACTCACAAATAAATTACAGCTACCTAGCAAACGGAACAAAATATATCCAAACTCCCAGGGTTGCCTATAGAATCAATATTGGACAAACATTGAGAAAAGCTACCTGAAGCGAAAAGGATACTACCTTTTTGTCCTCCAAAAAAGTGAACCTACGAAATTACGGAAATTATTGATGGTTCAAATTATGTTTATCCGAACTTTTCATTAGGAACTGAAGTTCTCTCCACAAAACATGGTACTGTAACAAGAACTGACCAAAAAACTTGTTCTGTAATTCGTCAAAGAGTTAGGCTTTCAACTCATGAATTGGGCGATCCATAAAAACTAAATGAAGTCTCATATTCCATCAACAAATACATCAAAATATTCGCTCCAAAAATATATGCATTTATCGTATGAATGATCTGTAAGCCTCGCTTAAGGAGCTTCTGTTCCTAGAAACGGTAGATCAACGATGCTTCAGTATGTGTACCTAGGTATATGAAAAACGGAGAAGTGAAGTATTTGTAAGTTAGCATATTTGACAGTCCAGCTCGGCTCTGAATTTGAATAAGATGACTACATGGTCGCTTCTATCTAGAGGTGGTAGGAAAGTAATTTGACCGACGTCATCACCATCTGTGAAAAGTAGGTTTAAAAGAGACGAGGAGCTTCTTAAGTCATATGTGGTGTAATATCCAATGTGTTGGAATAAAGCTAGTGAATTCAGGTTTTTAACAGTTTGCAATCGAATGACGTTATAGATGACTCTGCTTCAATAGCTTCACGAATCATCAGAGACTTTGTAGAGTAAACTGCTTCGCACAACCAACGTAATGAGGACTCGTAGCACTTTTATATGTAGTCGGTGTGAGTTCGGTGCACATTGAAGATGCCACGGGTATTTGTAGTTTGGCAACACTTTAAACAGTAACACCTAATATGAATCGTACCCTCCAAGTGAAATCAAAATACAGAAACGAGGAGGTTCGAAGATATATTCGATAGTCTATCAATATATCGTGGGTCGACTGATCTAGTCTGGGTAGCGATTGCGAGGATGCTGAGCACGGCGTTCCCACTCGTGATCTGATACGGATGCATGACCGAGTGCCTTCGGCTAAGTGAGTGCATCGAAACCAATGTGTTCAGCATCCAGTGTCGAAATCTTGCAGAGCTATTTATTTTGGGGATTTATTTACCAATACATATCACTCCCCTTAGTGGGTAGTGATGACCCTAAGACGTGGTCAGCCAGAAGTTTAAACCCAATGAGTTTGTCGTTGGTAAACACCCTTCTGATAGCTTGCTATGCTTAGCAGCGTCTGGTCGCCTTTCCCTATTATAAAGGACGATGAAGTACAATATAGCAAAAAAAAGTACAAGGAAATTCTCGGTTCCTTGTAAATTTCATCGCTTGTTTAGCTGTCTTCTTCAGCCGTTCTGGAAGAATAAAAACATGTACGTGCATGTCGTAATACACTCGTACGCGCGTAAAAACACAAAGCGGGCGAAAAAAGAAAAATAAACTCAAACACACGTAATAGCGCAGAAAAGGAATTTTATAATATGGGTTTTTGTTTTTTTTTGGGAATGAAAATATAAATATATAGGCATATTAAAATTTTTCTTTATATTACACGCAGTACAAAGAAAAATCGAGATGATATAAAATGTCAACAAGTATCTTACGTGCAATAGTCGTTCAGATGCTCTGGAAATCTTGCTCTTCTTCCAGAACGCGTTGTTTTAAGTTTATTTTCTGATACTGCCGAACTATCATCGTGCGCGTTGGCTGTCGAATGAGGTATTATAAATGTAGGAGCCATGTCGTTCGATTGTACGGAAGATCGACGTGAATAGGATTTCCTTCTAAATAAGCTGCTTTGAGGCGATCGATGCTGATGCTATCGTTGGTTCCATTCTTATCGACTATATGATACATGGATTCGTGTTGAAGAACTTTGAAAGGTCCTTCATATGCTGATTTGAAAGGTCGTCGATGTGAGTCTCGACGGACGAAAACGTGTGTACTATATAGTAAGTCAGGTTGAACGAAAACATCAGTCGATTGCGGTCGAAAGAAAATAGGTTTAATTGGACGCATTGCGTTTGTAAGCCTATCGTGAAGGGGTCAGATCCATGTTCATTGAAGAAGATGAGAGATCCACGAATTCTGGAAGTCGAAGTGTTGTTCCATAAACGAGTTGAGCTACAGTTTATCCAATTTCAGCTTTCACTGCATTGTGAATACCTAGCAGGACGAGTGTTGGTCTACCAGGAGTCAGTTCCAATTCGCCATTTCTGAATGTTTACAGTAATGCCACGTTTTTGTAGTTGCTCAAAAACATGATCCAGATGCCGGATACATTCGCAAAAATTCGTAGAGTCCAAACGGAGTTATGATAGCGGTTTTCGGCATATCGTCAGTAGCCATAGAGATTTGGTTATACGCTTTAACCAAGTCAAGGTAGCTGTCAAATCGTGAATGTGAGGCAACGGGTAACGATCGGGTATGGTTTTTGCATTTAGTCGACGATAGTCACCAGTTGGACGCCAATCGTTGCTATCTTTTTTAGGGACCATGAGCAATGAAGATGGCCATGGACTATTTGATTCCTAAGTCTATCATGTGGTCGAATTCGTTTCTGGCCAACCTTAGCTTTACGGGGGCCAGTTGGCGCGCTTTCGAGAATACAGGTGGTCCTGTAGTCGTGATGTGACGTGTAACGGTGCTGGTCACGCACGGTAGTTTCGGTTGCGGTTGGTATATCCGAGAATACTCATCTAGTAGAGGTTGATAGAATGGGTCTATCGTGTGCCTGACTGTGACAGGAGACAATCTGCAACCAGAAAAAGTAGTCACGCAAACAGATAGTTTAGTGTTTCCATCTACTAGCCTTCGTTTGCGAGTATCGATGAGTAGATTGTGGTGTAGTTGGAGGTCTATGCCAAGCATTGGCATAGAAACATATGCAACAACAAAGAACATATGCCAGTGCCCTAAGTTTTTCGCATGTGTACTCGTGAAGCACAGATGGTAAACTTATCTGGAAAAAAGAGGTACATTTGTGGAATGCTTTAACTGAAATGAATTCAATTATAGCAAAACAGCAGTTTTGATGTGTTATTTAACAATCAACACTATAAAATATACTTAGAGGAAAAATACCACTACCTTTTTTGAATAGCGCGCGAATACAACTGGTTGGTTTATTCCGATATGATATAAGCCAGTCGGTCTAAGGTAACTTGATTCCCATAAGCTTGGACTTTTTGACCGGAAATATGTGATCTTCTGTGACAAAATTGTTTTGAAGTGTTTGTGCAACGTCCTCCAATGAAAATGTCTGTGGTGTTTATCAGTTTCCTACTGTTTTTCTGATTTGCACTATTTTCTTATTTTATGAGTCCAAGAAAGAATAACAGAGAGATTTTAATTATAATTCCTTGAGTTCGACTGCTAAATTTTCCCAACAAATGATTATTGAAACGTCTTTTCATGATCCCGCGGGTGGTACGCTTTCCAAGATGGCTGGTGTAGGTCCTATTGTTAGGTGGAGGAAAGTTTCGGCGGCCACTGGGAATGTCCCCAGATCAAGACACGGACACAAAGCTGTGGCTATCAAGGACTTGATCGTTGTTTTCGGTGGTGGGAATGAGGGAATAGTGGACGAACTTCACGTTTTCAATACGAGTAAGTGTTATTTTCGCCCATTTGCTTTAGCAACCTGCCAATGGTTTCTTCCCGCTGTACATGGAGATATTCCTCCAGGATGTGCAGCTTTCGGAATGCTGGCAGAAAACACTCGTGTGCTCATGTTTGGTGGCATGCTTGAGTATGGCAAATATTCAGGCGACTTATACGAACTACAAGCCTCTCGTTGGGAATGGAAACGTCTAAAGCCTAAGCCTGCTAGAAATGGCCCCTGTCCATGTCCAAGGATCGGTATGACCTCTTTTATTCTGATTGTTTTTGGTAGGTCATAGTTTTACTCTTGTTGGTCAGCGAGCATTTTTATTTGGTGGGATAACAAATGACAGCGATGACCCTAAAAACAATATACCAAGGTAATCACTCCTGTTTTTCTGCTTAATTGGTCATGCGTTGTTTAGTGGTTGTGGTTGTGTAAATTAGTGTCCAGTAACATGTTTAGACTGGTCATCTAATCTTAAAGGAAAACTACTGTTACATTATGTACTAGGTCACCGGCATATTTCTAAATTAAACTCAAGTTTAGGGGATATCCCTTGTATCTTGTAACTGATCAAGATCAAGGTGCTCAGCTTCGCTACTTCTTTCTAGTTATCAACACCTGTAAACAACTGTCAGCGACATAAGGAGTTCCGATAATTCATTGACTTATAGAAAAAAATCGACACAAGGTGGCGCTTTGGAGTACATGTCTTTTGATCAGCTTCCGTTCAGATCGTTTTTCATCTACTCTCACATGTATTCAACCACAGAGATATTTTCTTATCTACTCTTGCACAGTACCTGTTATTCCAAAGCTTTTTTAAGATCTATGAACACCACATCAATGGAAAAATCGTTATCTTAGGTTGCTGTCTGATTCTCTCTAGCAAACAGTTATGCACGAATGCTTAAAAGATCTGTGTTGCTCAAGAGTCATCGAATTATATGATTCTCTGTGACTTCGTAACTTGACCCTCATTGTTTTTCTCATGTAACCTAACTACTATGCTGGTTAAACTGATAGGTCAGCGGTTAAACATGATCTCTCCATACTTTAATATTGGGCTAACCAAATCATCCTTCCAGTTCCTAGGTGGTTGAGTGCGAGGAAGGGACATATTTTTCTCGTCACTTTCGAGTTCTAATTTTTAGTTTCCTCTTGGTTATGTCTCGCCTCCAATCCATTTATCGAGCCTCATTACTTTATTAATATGTACTACCTTCCAACAGTACATTTCTGATGGCAGGTCCAATTAACTCCAGAATGTGTGTATGCCTTTTAGCAGGGTCGTTTTACAAGCCCCCTCCAAATTTCGTCAACAACATCTGCCGCGAATAAGCACTGTGTAGGCTTCATCTAACAATTGTCTTAGTAACGGAACATCCCTTAAGTAATCACGGTGAGGTCGGTCTACAGCAATTTTCATGCACGGCGGGTAATAATTTGTGAAATCGTCTCTTACATCCGTCATATTGCATACCATTTTCAACAAGGAATATACATAATGGTCAACCGCATCGATAACTTTGAATGGCCATTATGATCGGCACGATGCGGATAAAACAAGAAAAGTTCAGACAGCTAGAAAATCCAACTCAGGAAAAAAGAAACACGGTGTATGTCAATCACAGATACACACCAACAAAAAATACGCATGAAAATTATTTCACAAACCTTAGTAGCATTAAAAGCGATATATATGATCTTAAACTTCTGGTATGATGAATTCAACAGAAATCTAATGTCTTAACACGCGGAAAAATTCGTTTCCTTTTATCAAATTTCATGGTAAATCTTGCTAATAAGGTTCGTTATTCAGTCTACAGTAGTTTCCTAAAATAATAGTTATTGGTCCATAAAACATTTTCCGGCGAAACTATAATTTATAGGCAACTGTCATGTCGGATTCCGTCAGTAATTCTCTCTCATGGGGATTTATCTCCCGATCGCATTGAATCACCATGCATCTATTAGTCGGCTTTATATTCATTCTAGCTATTAAAGTATGTTCTTGTTTTATCTCAAGTTGTCTGTACTCTTTACTTTGTAAAATATTTTTATAATTAGATACTTAAACGATCTGTACACTCTGGAATTAAAACCCAATTCAAGTACTATGTGTTGGGATATTCCAAACACATATGGTCAGCCACCTACACCTAGAGAATCTCACAGTGCAGTAGCTTATCAGGTCCTTGATGGAATGATAAAGAAATGGCGTCTTTTGGTATATGGTGGCATGTCCGGTAACCGACTTGGGGATCTTTGGCAATTAGAAATTGATACCATGACATGGATCAAACCTATCGTTAGTGGAGATCTACCGGCCCCACGCAGTCTTCACAGTGCAACTGTAATCGGAAACCGGTAAGTGTTACGAAAAATCCTTTTATTGTTGCGGTAGGTTTTATCCTACGTCCTGTTATCTATCGTAAACGATTTAATGTGCCTTAAGGCACTTTTTAGCTTATGTTATCATTTGTTTATTGTGTATTCAGGTTAGGAAAGGTAATCAGCACTTATTTTAGGGTGGTCATTAGCCTTGCTTTAAGACTCACGATTTTCCCATAAATTGAGAGTTATCTAATTAACAAACAAAATATATGCGAGTATTGGTCAATATTTGGACGGATAGTTCGGCAGGAATAGGGCGGGGAGTATAGAAACGTTATTTGTAAAATTATATATATACCTCAAAAGATGAATCCATTTTCTGATCAGTGACATGTACTTTTGCTTTAGGTGGTTGCTGATTGACACGTAGTAGCCTTATCATCTGGCTATTTCTGATTGACTCATTTTTTCAGGTCTAGTGGTTAAAGGACTACACTTTTAACGTGATAAATACAGGTAAAATTAAATGATTTTGACAGCTTCGTAGGAAAACTAATCCAGTGTCCGGTCTCCAAAATGAGTTTGTCACATGAGGTTTGAAAAATTAATTTGTGTCTTTATCATCTTTTGACAGATAGGCTATGACAGTGATCCATTTGGTATTCAGTCAGTCAGTCAGTAACAACGTAGAACTTCGTACGTACGTACATCAGTTCGAGGTGCCACACTACATTAACACAGAGATACAGTTGTCGATTTAAATCCCGTAGTGTTAGAGGTAGTAAGAGTATAAACAGTACTCGTAAAGATTAGGGTTTGAAGATGCTTTCCAAGGAGTATAATCCAGCGAAATAAATTTGGAAAGACGAAAAAAGGAACATGAATTCAGATTAGAATTTGGGAAAACACAGAGTAGATGCACCTGCCCAATCGCAATCGATTTGGGGCCACGTCATTCAAGGTCTCTATCCATCGGTTGCTATCATCTCGCGGATCCCAATCAGGTAGTCTACACCTACCAACATGGCTCAGTTCACTTGTCAGTGACTTCATGGATTTGTGCCATGTTTTGGTCTGACTGCCCCTAGCTTTCTTCCAACCTACTCCTACACCACAAAACATCGCTCGTCGGGGCAGTCGGTGGTTGGGCATACGTAACACGTGTCCCAGTCATCTCAACTGTTGAAGTTTCACTACTTCATCAATTGATTTGTCATCCTTACCTAGTATCCGTTTCCTAACAACTGCATTAATTACTCGATGGTTCCAGGATATACGAGCAATGCTTCGAAGACACCTGATCGAATACTAGAAACCTACGAATATCCTCTACTGTTACCGGCCACGTTTCACTGCAATAAAGTAGGACAGAACGAACTGCTGCGCAGTATCTCGCATACGCCATAAATGACGAAAGTTGGCAAAAGCTAGTCGAGCCTTCTGTATCTTTGCTGAGATTTCGTCACACACCAGACCACAAGGGCTGATGAGACTTCCAAGATAAGTAAAGCGGTCGACACGCTCAACTACTTCACTCCCTATAATTATTTCGGGTGTCGATACAACCCAAACATGAAGCAACATTTTACATTTCGAGGAAGAGTATCGCATCTTGAACATGCTTGCATTGTTGCTTAGTGTGGTCAGAAAACTGCATTTTGTCAGCGCTTTCACCAAACAGAACTATATCATCGGTATATTCTAAGTCAAAAAGTGAATTTCTCGGTAGATGTTCAACCCACGGAAATTTAGATGAGGAAAGTGTCATCTCTAAAAGTACGTCAATGACAAAGTTAAACAAGAATGGAGAGAGTGGGTAGCCCTGACGAACACCACTTGAGATAATCAATTCTGATGACAGTTCGCCATAAGCTCTCACTCGACTAGTTGTGTCCGAGTAGAAAGCCTTTACAAAGTTAATGTCCTTCTTTGGTACTCCTTTCAATGACAAACACTGCCACAGAACCTCACGATCAACAGAGTCGAATGCTGCTTTAAGGTCAAGAAATACTACTATTTTGGGGCGTCTGAATGTGTGTCTATGTTCTAGGACCTGATGTAGGGTGAATATCTGGTCTATACAACCACGTCTAGGTTGAAAACCAGCCTGGTTTTCTCTAGTCTGCTCTTCACGAGCTTTAGTTAGGCGTCGAAGTATTATTGAAGCTAATATTTTAGACACTATATTAGTCAAACTGATTCCTCTATGATTGTCACAAGAGGACTTTTGTCCTTTCTTATAGACTGGCACAATCAGTGATTGAGACCAGTCAGATGGGATTACGTCCAATTCCCAAATCCTACCTAAGACCTCGGTTAATCTCACTGCTAATACTGGACCACCATCCTTAAAAATCTCAGGAGTAAACCTGTCAGGGCCTGCTGCTCTCCCTCGCTTCAGATTTCCTATAGCTTTTTCAACTTCGTAAAGAGTCGGAGGACCTAAATTAACTTGCCATTCAGGTTGACTGGAGATCGTGGGAAACCGAAGTGTGACTGAAGGCCAGTGTTCTGCCCATCGATCCAATCTCCTGGATTGAGAATGTATAATATGTCCATCTTTCTCTGAGATTGTTTCGCTAACAGTCGGATACCTAATACCGGTTTCCTTAACAAGTCTGAACAATTGTCTGCTACTACCTATTGCCGCTGCCTTTTCCATCTCTCTTGCTTTCGCTACCCACTACTGTTCACAATCATTGCGTAGGCTTCTTGTCAGCTTGCGCTTAAGCTGACTCCGCTCTTCGTTATGTTCAGAGCCAGATGGAATGAGTTTTCGAGCATCTATCAGTGCGGTAGGTGCTGCTGAGATCCAGTGTTGCTCCCTAACCTTACGGTTTACCGTACTAGCAGATATCACTGCTGTTTCCACAGCTTTTCTGATATCATTCCATGCTGCATCGGGGTGGACATCACCTACATGGCTGTCTAACTGTTTTCCAAGTTGTTCCTGAAATATACTCTTAGCTTGACAATCATTAAGTAGGGCCCTATTGATTGATTAATTCAGTAAGTGTCTTCCTTCAGTGACAACTGCTTAGTTTGGTGAAATTCTGAAATTTTCAATCACTGAATATTATTAAACAGGACCCTAAGAGGTTTCCTTGCAGCGTCTTTCTTACGTCCAGTAAGACGCAGGCAAATACGCGCTCGTACTAGAGCATGATCTGAATCTAAGCATGTGCTCCAGAATGAGTGACAGCCTTCTATCGAGCCCCTCCATCGGTGGCTGATAGCGATGTGATCTATTTGGGTCCATCGTTGGGACGAAGTAGGGGGTCGCCACGCTAAGAGATGTTTTTCCTTATGCTTAAAGTTAGTATTTGCAAGGAACAGGCTGTTATCTGAGCATAGCTGCAACAGACGGTCGCCATTATCTGTTCTTTGAGCCGCGACACCATTAGATCCACCTAGGTGTCTTTCCCTATCTCTTAGTTTACCTACTTGAGCATTAAAGTCACCAGCCACTATTACTACATCCGAGCGCCTAACTTTTAGGAGAACGTCGGAAAGCTTTCTGTAAAACTCATCTCTTACATCATCTGAGTTGCAGTCAGTGGAAGAATAGGCAAAGACGACGAAGGGGCAACGACGAGTGTCCCTATCTTTCAGAGTCCTTATTGTTCCGTTTAGTCGGACAGCGCACAAACGACTGTTCTGCCCCAGGACTCAATGCTATACCTACGCCGGCCAGTCCACGTGAAGCAGCATCTGGGCTTCCAGATACACAAAGTGTGAATCGAGTTGGTTCTTTGTTTTGACATGGTGGTGTCAAATGAATGACGCTACTCGGGTCCTGTATGCGCGTTTCGGAGACGCAGCACACATCGATGGCTCGAGATTTTAAAGTCTTAGCTAAGGAAGCCTGTTGTCCTGTTTGGCATAATGTTCGGACGTTAAAAGCTCCTACATGTAGTTTAGAGCGTGGTTTCAGGAATCGTTTACCCTGGCGGTGCGAGGTGAAAAAAGGACGTGAGAAGGGTTATTCGGGGAGATAAGAGTGGTATTTAGAGGTGTAGGAAGGATTTGAATGTGACCAACTTGGCATCGTGTGCTGTTACGGGCATAAGGGCTGGTGTCACTTCCTGGCTGCCCAGACCGTGGAAGGGTATTTCTTGAGGAACCTGAGAATGAAATTGGGTTAGTGTTGTTCTTAAAGACTTGGGAGCGTGACCGCAAAGCCCAAGGGACAACTGCTTGAGGCCGGTCGCGCACGGCTTTTTTGTGGGAGGTTTTTGACGTGTTAGCTCCGTTCTTCAAAGGGCCTTACCGCCGGAGACAGAAATCCGTGAGGTAAGGTGAGGTGTGACATTTTTAGGGTCGACCTTTTCTAACCCCTTCCCTCCTTGTAAGAAGGCAGCATCGCTGTAGATGCTGGTTGTCCAAGAGAAACACCTTGCTGCTGTCACACCCCTCTACAGTCAGCAGTACGACTTCGCCCTCAGACCTTGAGTTGCTGCTTTTAGTCTTACCGTTCTCCACTCGACCTGCCTGTCATGGTAGAACCTACAGGAACATATGTTCCAGCCAATATAGCTCGGTTGGGTCATCACGATAGGCAAGCCCGAACACCGCGTCAAGGTAGCAGCTACGGTTGGGTCCATTTGGTATTAGGCTTTTTAGTTCGTGTGAATCAAATATATTCGCAACCCGAAGGGAAAATTCTTGGTTATTATTTTGAACGTACTTAATTTCATTTCATAGTTCTAAATCACTTGCCCTTACTGACCAAAACTATTGGATCTGTTTAAGCACCCACGACATCAGTTATTTACATTTTATGTTTTAAATGTGAAGTGTTTTATGTTCGGCGTTTCTCAGCAGTAACCTAGAGAGCGACGTTACTCATTTTCTACATCTACTTACTGTTCCTTAACAAAATTTTCGTTGTAGTGTTTCGCATATAATTTCTTTAGAACCTGACCAGATTTTTAAATATCAATGTTGATCGATAGCCTTTTATTTTCTTCCGTGTTCTCATTTTAATTTGCTTTGATACTTGACATTTAACCATTACTAGCATGTTTGTCTTCGGTGGATGGGTTCCTTTGGTCATGGAAGAAATTAAAATGACAGCTCAAGAAAAAGAATGGAAGTGTACGAATACTTTGGCTAGTCTCAATCTTGACACAATGGTTTGGGAACCATTGACAATGGAAGTCGCTGACGAATGTCTTCTACCTCGAGCCCGTGCTGGACATTGTGCTGTAGCTGTTCACAGTCGTTTGTACATTTGGTCTGGTCGTGATGGATATAGAAAAGCATGGAATAATCAGGTGAGTTCCTGAATATTGTACAACCGTGTGATAATATGTACTCTAAAATATAATACTAACTGGTTGAATTTTTATCATTCTAGGTTTGCTTCAAAGATTTATGGTTTTTGGAAACTGACCGTCCTGCTGCTCCAACAAGAGTTCAGTTAGTTCGTGCTGGCACACAAAGCCTCGAAGTAACATGGGGTTCTGTACCTACTGCAGATGCTTATATTTTACAAATTCAAAAGTATGATGTTTCTCCTTCCACACATTCCCTGACATCTTCACCAGTAGATACAAGTGGAATTGTTAAAGCTCCATTAACTGCATCTGCGGGTTCTCTGAACTTTTCAAGAGCTGGTGCTATTTCACAGGTTAGTGCCTCTGGAAAGGCTTTTGAATTTATTCGCTTGCTGCTAGCAACAACTTAAGCAAAATTACTAGCTGTTTGATTAACTGACTGACTAGCTTTTCGGTTTCATTCATTACATAGGCCCTCATTACCACACCAGCTCCTGCTAATTCTGTTCCGATACCAACCCCTATCAGATTACCTACTACTACTGCCGCTGTTGGTTCAATAATACCAAACTCATGCGTCACTATGGCTGGACAGAGAGGACCTACTGTAGTTACACCGACAGGTTTAAAGATCACACCTGTGCCAGGCAGTGCTGTTACAGGACGGACGGCAACTATCGCAACTGTAGCACAACATTCCAGTGCAGTTAATCCATGTGGTCCGACGATCATTCGAAGTTCATGTCCTCCGATCGCTCCGAAGCAACACGTGAGTTGCCTTTCTAGTATTCTGTGTTAAACGAGTAAAACTATCCAACACCGAGCTGATGAATTTTTGTAATATTTTATCTTGAGAGTTATTTTAAATAATTCGAGGATTCTGGTAAATTCTTACACAATTCCCTTTATTATCTTAAAGAGAGCAAAACCAAAGAATGGAGCAGAATAATAGGAATTCATTTGATTTCGTTAAGCTATCATCAGCTGCTTGCAAATCAAAATTGTGGATATTGACATACTTATAAATACGAAGGTGATTATAGATGAATATGTGTATCATGATGTAGCGAAGATTATAATATAGTTTATAAGGTCATAAAAATTTTTCTCAGACAAATAAAAAGAGGGAAAGTTCCAGAACACCGAACTAGTGACTAGAAATCATAGAGTTAAAAACATTAGATGATTGTGCGATGAAGCAAGTGTAACAGCGGCCTCAGCAGCAGTAGGTCTCAACATACGCAAAGGGAAAAACGACATTCTCCGATACAATACAGCATGCAACAATCGAATCACTCTTGACGAAGAAGATTTGGATGATGTAAAAACCTCTACATATCTGGGCAGCATCATTTATGAACACGGTGGATCTGATGCAGATGTGAAGGCACGGACCGGCAAAGCAAGAGCAGCATAATCACAAATGAAGAACATCTGGAACTCAAAACAACTGTCAACCAACCCCGAGGTCAGAATTTTTAATACAAATGTCAAGACAGTTCTGTATGGGGCGAAAACCTGGAGAACTACGAAAGCCATCATCCAGAAGATACAGGTGTTTATTAACAGTTATCTACGCAAAATACTTCAGATCCGTTGGCCGGACACTATTAGCAACAACGTACTGTGGGAGAGAACGAACCAGATCCCAGTGGAGGAAGAAATCAGGAGGAAGCGCTGGAAGTGGATAGGACATACATTGAGGAAAGCACCCAACTGCGTCACAAGACATGCCCTCACATGGAATTCTCAAGGCCAAAGGAGGAGAGGAAGACCAAAGAACACATTACGCCGGGAAATGGAGATAGACATGAGAAAAATGAACAAGAATTGGATCGAATTAGAAAGGAAGGCCCAGGACAGAGTGGGTTGGAGAATGCTGGTCTGCGGCCTATGCTGCATTAGGAGTAACAAGAGTAAGTAAGTAAGCAATGAAGCAAGTGAAAACAGATTAGTGGTAATAATGACTTGAATTGAAATCAATTATGAATTAAAGAGAATTGACAATGATGTGATCAAAACTTGAGAGATTTGAAATAATGAATGATGCAATAAAAAGGGTGTAATGTTACCAGGGCAAAGTAAGATTTACTGGTTTGTTTTTGAACATATATATCTGGTTTGATTTTATTTATTTATTTATTTGAACACAATTATTGGTACAAGTGGACACCAGATATATATGCGCCACACAAAGCAATGAGAATGGTAACAAAAGAAAGAATGTAAGGTGCGTATAAGAAAGAAAAAGAGAACAACAACGACCACAGATTAGTGTATGGTAGTATAATAATAATAATAGTAATGGGGGAAACGGAAAGCTACAACCTGAAAGGATTCTTTCAGTTAAGGAAGTTCCAAACCCCTTTTATGAAGAAAGCAAAAGAAGGTTATATCAGGATCGCCACTGGCTTCTATTCTGAACCATATCTGATAACGTCTCTAGACACTGTGTTGCACCATCTCTAGGACCCCAACCAGGGAGTCATGAAGAACCAACAGAGGCCAGTCCTGTGCAGCTTTCTTTCATACCATTACATCAGGTCATACACTGACCACCTCTCCGCTTTTTCCGACCAGTCCCAGCGTCGGCAAATCGTGCACAACAAGAAATTCTCTGGGGCAACATTTGAAGAACATGTCCAAGCCACCGAAGTCGATGTTTCAAGATGTTGACACCAATTGAATCATCGTCTCTGTGCCCGAACACACGATGCTGAACCTCTTCATTACTAACATGATGTTGCCACTGGATGTCAGCAATCCTTCGGAGACAACGATGATCGAATACAGAGAGTCGTCTAGCATCCTCAATTCGGAGAGGCCAGGTTTCACAAGCATAGAGCAAGAATGCTCTAACCGACACGTTGTAGATCCGACCTTTTACAGCCAGACTGACCTCACGAAGGTGGCAAAGATGGCTCAGATTAGCATAAGCCGCTCTGCCTTTCACTATACGTGAATCGATCTCATCGCTCACGCCACCAGCCCTTATGCAGCTACCTAGATACACTAACTTCTGTCTGCTCACCACCCAGGATGAGTACAGGACCAGGTTCCTGCCAGTCTTGTAGAAGTACTTTGCACTTGGAAGGAGCAAAGCACATAGCGTACCTACGGGCATTGATTGTCAACTGATTAAGTGCGGATTGCATGGCTTGAGCGTTATCGCACAGTAAGACAATATCATCCATATACTCAAGGTTGGTAAGTCTTTCTCCAGACAACAGATCCACACCGCCACTGCTTACATCCACCAGAGCTGTTTCCAGAATGTCGTCGATGGCAAAGTTGAAGAGGAATGGTGAGATTGGGCAACCCCGTCTAACCCCACTGCTCGAGTAGAACAATGGAGAGAGGTGGTTGTATGCCCTCTCTCTACCTGAGGTGTTTGTATATAGGGCCTTTAGGATGTTAATAAACTTCTCAGGCACACTCTTCTTCAATAGACAATCCCAGAGAACAGTCCTATCCAACGAATCGAAGGCAGCCCTGATGTCAAGAAATACTACGATTGTTGGCCTTTGATAAGTATGACGGTGTTCTAACATTTGGCGGAGGGTGAAGATATAATTAATACATCCTCGACCAGAACGAAACCCAGCCTGCTCCTCGCGAGTCAATCTTTCTCGGGTTTAGAACAACCTACGAAGTATGACAGAAGCCAACAGTTTTGAAGGAACTGGAAGTAGACTGTCCCCCAATAAAATTTAAAGAGATGATGTGAACCCTTTTTAAAAATAAGGACAATTATCGACTCATTTCATGACGTTGGAACATTCTCTAGTTCCCAGACCTTTGTAAACACCATTGTCAGTTCCTTAACTAGAAAGTCACCACCATATTTAAAAACAGCCGGGTGCAGATCGTCTGGGTCCGGTGATTTGTAACGTTTCAAGAGTTGGATTTCCTTGTGAACTGTCATTCGAGGAACTCTGCTCATCCTCCAAGACGTCGATGGTTGTTTGTTATTGGCATCCCGTCATACAGATTGCTTCGCTCATACCAGACTTCTTGCTGCCAGTGGCTTGGGTGAGTTGAGTGAGCTTCCGGTTGTTACCAGATGTAGCTGTTGCTTCTAGCTCACTAGCACGCTCCGACCACCAAGCTTCTCGATCCCTACGCAAGCTTTGCTCGATTTCATTACATAACATCCTTCGTTTGTGATCAAACTCACGGTCATCCGGAGTATACCGACGGGTCTCGATGAGTTGTAGAAAGCCTGAGGGGACCCAGTGCTTATAAGCGGGACGTTTCGCGAAGCCGCCAACGGCTATACTCTTCATTTCCATGGCGTCATGCAGCTGCCACCAATACTCATCTATACTTTTCGGTGGGATGGTAACTAACCTAGAACCTAGCTCGGTTTGATACTTAGTTGCAACAGAAGCTGCAATCAATTTACTGACATCAATCCTTTGGTGACGGTCACTTCGTTGGCCACTGAAAAGTAAGATTGGCACACGCCAGGGCATGATCAGAGTCCAGATAGGTACTCTGAAAAGTGACAGTTTTGTACACAACCACGCCAGCGGTAGCTGATCGCGATGTGATCAATCTGAGTCCAGGCTTGAGATGCAGAGGGAGGACGCCAGGTGGGACATCGGCGATGACTATGCTGAAAGTTAGTGCTAGCTGGAAACAGGTTGTGATCTGCGCACAGTTGCAGTAGACGGTCCCCGTTATCTGTCCTGCGACCAAGAAGTCACCATCGGCCACCTAAACGATTCTCTTCTGTGCCTAGACGCCCGGCCTGATCATTCGAGTCTCCGGCTTGTACTGCAATATCTGTGGGATGCACTTTCTGGACAAGAACAGTTAACTGGTAGTAAAATTCATCTTTGATCGCATCGGGGATGCAATCTGTCGGGGCATAGGCGGAGATGACGAAGAGACATCGTTTCTCACGCCGATTTCTTCTCAATTCGATGTAACTTTCTAATCTAACAGCACATATCCGACTGTTAATGGGGATCCAATCGATTAGTGCTGCCTCAGCTCTAGTGCTTAGTGCGACACCAACGCCACAGAGTCCCCGGATAAGCGCATGTAAAATAAGCATTTTGAAGCGACTGATGGAGAGCGAATTTGTAGTACCGAACTAGTCTGGAATATAGCGGACCTCGATATTAAGACTTTCTAAAGATAACCAGCCCTATCTGTTGTTCGATCTGCATTAGTGTGCGAACGTTGAAGGCAGCCAGTTTGAATGGTGTACGTGGTTTCAGAAAAACTGTTTCAGTATTTGTATCCGGTGGAAGCATTCAACAGTGACTTGAGATCGTTTATATGGAACAGAATTCTCACCATGTGTGAGCTGCTGTATAAGTTGAAGAATGGGGATACATAAAGTTGGAATAGAGGTAGATAAGTGACGTAGTATATAAAACATAGTAATAATAGAAACAGTGAGTGTTATCAAGTGAATGTGAATTATCTGAATTCTAAAATGAAGCGAGCATAGTATTTCGTGAAGTAATCGTCATCTCCTTAGATTTGTGTGAGGGCTGTGATACTGCCCAGGTGCCCAGATCGAAGCAGGTGGTTTTCTTAGGGGGCCACACCCAGAGCCTTCGATCTGAAGGTCTGGTCCACAAGGCAGTGAGGAAACTCAAGGAGTTGCAGTCCCATGGTAGCAGGTGTCCAACGATTGGTTCATACGCCATTTGTTCCTTCAGGATGCTGGAGCCCGTGTGCATCATTAGTTTGGAATCAGGGTTTCCCAACTCCAGTAGGTGGACTCTCCATGTCCACCAACCCGGTTAAAGCGTCGGACGTTCGCTTTTCGTCCTCTCAGTTTCCTAAACAACACCCCCGCCACGAGAACGCAGTGAGTAGAACCTCCCTGGAAGAGGGTATACACACGTGGTTACACGAGAGCATTTCGAGAGGGAGAGCGGACTCTCCCTACTCTTGGCCGTACCAGGGCATTTAGGGAGCAGATCTGGTTTCAGGCGTTTGGTATCTATAGCGCTGAAAAATTTTAGAAGACTGGAGTTTGATTGTTTGTTAATCATTTTGAAAGACTTCAGTGTTTCCTCTTGATGTTTTGTATCAAGATGTCTAGAGATGACACTTCTGAATGCTTTTGATCCACTTGACCTTTTTGGGATATGTTCTTTGCATCGGATATGCGCTCTCCTTCCTGTTCTACCAATGTTACTGACTTGGCTGATACACGTGAATATGTATATACAGTTGGTGGTAACATATGAGTGATAGCTATCGATCTTTGATTGTTCTAAAAAACATTGTTTTGAACAAGACAATCGGTTTAGCTGCAGGACAAGTTCTTGTCAATGCAATTTTTAGTCTTACGTTGATTGATCCTGTCACAAAAGATTAATATTCGAAGTTATTTCGGTATGCCCACAAAAATAAGACGCTTACCAAGTGATTTTAGGGGATCTAGCATCCCAACAGTTGGCACGCATTTCTACTATGTTTTTTTCCCAAGTTTGACTGAGTTATTTCAGCTTAAAACATGTATCCGCGAGAACCTACATACCATTTGTTAGGGAAATTAATAGTGTTTTGAAATACCTTGTATATAGCATTTTAACACGATTTCACCCATTTCTGCTTGTATGGTGAATTAGGTATGGATTAGTGTCATTTTTCACGTTGTGTTTATCTTGATTTTTCTGTTGGTCGTAGGATGTAGGATAATTTATTGTATGTTATATTCTACATGATACCCCAGTAGAATATTCTGTCTGAGATCGACTTGTTTTTTGACTAACTTATTAACATGAACGTATTTTTCTCTACATAGCTTATTACTGTTAGTGGCAAGCAGGTGGTTTCTGCAGTTTCTGTCGCGAATAACTCCGGTGTAGCTAATTCGAATCCAAATCAAGTAGTACACATTGTAAACAAGTCAACAGGTTTAATCAAACCTATTAAACTAGTTTCGACCACAACTTCATCTTCAACTGCTTCCAAAACTATCACTGTACAGCAAGCATCAGTTGGAACTGGCGTTTCAGGTGATCAGTAATTTTTCAAAACTTGGTTTACTTATATTTATATGTTTTAGCTTTGATTTTTCTAAACTCCTGTCCAACTTCCGACCTATCGTGTGAACTTACATAATTCGTAAGACAGTAGTTTTTCGTTTAGTTTATTTTGAAAGTTTGAAGCTGTCCGCCCCTAAATGCTCTGGTATAGCCGAGAGTGTGTTGGGCCCGCCCTCCCTCTCGAAATGCTTTCACACGGCCATGCGTATACAGCCTCTGCCAGGGAAGTCCTACTCACTGCCTTCTCGTGGCGAGGATGTTGTCTACGAAAATGAGAGGACGAATAGCTAATGTCCAATTGAAGTGTATCTGTTGCACATTATGATTGTTTAATGAAAACGAATTTAGTTCACTTGTTTCTACAGTAGCCTAAATACTCTTTATTTCCATAAAATTATTAAATCTTATTCTAATTTTACCACCTTTGAGACACATTTTCGTTTTTGTTTCTTTGTTTCCTTTTTGATGATAAAGTTTCAAGTTGTACTTTGTTTACTTCTCGTTATTATAGTTCCTAAAGTAATCAAAGCTATTCCTGCAACGATGCTTCAGATGTCTGCGTCTGGTAAGCCTATTTTAATTGCTGGTGGTGGTGTATGCCGTCCGGGCCAGACAACCGTTCAAGTTTCAGGTTCTGTACACAGACCAGCTGGACAGCAAATAGTTATCATGAGTCCAACAAGTAAGACTGTTGTGAATTTTCGAGGTTTTCGTAGTTCTTTATTTCTTTTTTTTATAATACAAAGGAATATAACCAATCTGTGTTAGGTTCATACATTCACAAAGGAGGATATTTTACTTCTTGTCTCCCTAGAATGCAGTATTTTGTCAGTATTTTGTTAGTTTAATCATAGGCATTATGAGTACCCATTATCCTTTACTGCGCACATTCGGAATAATTGTGTATAAAATTATCTAGTCTCAGTAATTCATCCTTATTTACACGATTGGTTATGTACTCATCATAGTAAATTTCAGGTCTTAATTGTGGTTATAAAGTTCAGGTCGAAAGCTTTAGAAATTACTATGTTCACAAATTGACGATTTTCAGCTCGTTATCGTAGTTTGAATGGAGTGTTTGCCATCAAGTGGATTTGCTGACTAGGGTGAAACACTCACTTTCTACTTTGATATGTACCAGTTATTCCAGCTAATGTTGTTTTGTGATGCAAAGCATTGTTAACGTGGAACTTAAAAACTTGGACTTTATTTTCAGTATCCTCATCAACTGCCGTGCCTGCATCATCAAATTTGTACTTATCTTCTGGAGGTGCTACCAGCCAAATAATACGACAGGGAAATCAAACACAGGTAACCTTAGTCCGACGGGATCAATATGATTCAACACATGGTAATGCGAATGATCCAAGTAATACTACGTCATCGATTCTCCAAACTATTCCACAATTGGATGGTGCTGTTGATGATGACGATGATGATGTTGATGAGGACGGTGGTAGTGCTAAAACCGATGCTTCATCAGCTATCCTTTTGGAGTCTAATTTAGGCAAAGAAAAGTTACATATGAAAGGAAATGTGGATATTCTACAAACTGGCAGTCAACATTCGCCAGCATATACAACAGTAAGTGTGCTTTTTACCTAAGAGTACCACTACAGTTGTTGATACATATAAGTCAAAATGGTATTTCTTGATTATAGTTATGTCTCGTTTGATCACTGGCATAAATGAATTTTTAACTATCGTTGACAGTTAACTGTTCATATTAAAGGTTTAAAACCTTATAACTGCATTATGTTAGCAGAGGACTGTTATAATCTCTTTCTTACGGTTATGACCCAACTATTCCTATTGCTTAGTATTCTCGGACACGGATTCACTCGACAAGACCCCAAATCAGAACACGGTTGAACAGGAAAGACATTATATTCCAAATAACAAGGTTAGATGGAAGCAAGATGCAAGCACAACAGGGAAAAACGTCAGTATATTTATAGTTTTTACATGAGAAGATTCTAGAGTATTCTTCAACTATCGACTAGTGCTGATTGGGTAAGAATTAGCCAATCAGCGTGCACCAAAGCAATCGTGAATTGAGCATGCATTAATCCGGTCTATGTTCCGCTAACAAGGACAAGCTTAAATTCATAGCAAAATAAACGGATACATCGTTTCCATTGTTTATTTGGTCATCTGTTACTTACTAGATAAATTCAAGTCAGTCCAACTGAACGACTTAATATAGTAATATAGAACTGGGATTTGATGTTTTCTGACTGATCTATTCCAAACCACCTAGGTGGTCAGATATTTGGCATCAGGCCTGAAACTAACCAGATCTTACATGGTTCATGCATCGGAGCACCATCTGTAACCATCAAACTAGTTCATACACTTGTGTGTGTTAGTTGAATTGTAAATACCTCTTCTTGATTGTTTCGTTTTAATTACCAAGGATTAGCGCTTCAACCCAAAAAGTTTAGTCCATGTATATTATTGAAACCGGTCTGTATACGTGTTTCGAGTTTGGTCACATACGAAGGATTATAAATGAACTGGAAAGTTTTTCTTGAATTATTAGTTTGTGCATCCACAGATTTAAGAAAATTAGGATTTATTTTAGAGAACTGTGCTTTTGAATTCATGTCGCTTAGTTTGTTTAGATGTTTGTATTAACGAACTGGTGCTGCATCTTGTTGTAGCAAACTTAAGTTTTATTTGATCTCACCTTTTCAAGCATCAGCATCTTATTTCGTTGCCATCTCACATTCATATCAAATAACTCATACACTACAACTTTACATTAACAACTAGCTTATTTGTTTAAGACTTGGTATATAACTTAAACATAACTTATTCAGTGGTTTCACCACATGCTGTAAAAGTATCTATGGTTGAACACAGATAACCTACCGATATTTTTCACCTTTAATTACTGTATCTCTATCTTAGAATTGCAGGAGATTGTCACAATGGGGTTTATTTCCCCTTACTCAGACTTAACCAACTGGATAGTGTGGATGCTGAGTTGCATTAAACTAAGTTAATCAAGGTCTCGTTTTGTGATAAACAGTTTGTTAAATTTTCTCTTATTACGACCCAGCTACTCTTGTTGCTTAGTATTCTTAAACAGTATCTCACTCGACACGTTCCCAAATCAGAACACAGATGGACAGGAGCGTAATCATACTCCAAATAACAAGGTTGGATGAAAGTAGGAATCACAATAAGAAAAATGTTGATATATTTGTAATTTTTACATAAGAAGATTCTGGAATTGTCTCCAGGTCTTCGTAGCGCTGACTGGTTGGGAGATAGCCAATAAACGTGCCCCAATACAATCCTGCACGGAACATGCTTTAATCCAATCTATATCCTGCTAACACAGTCGGATATTTCACTACCGATATATATTGATCAAAGTTAAACTAAACTTTTGTTTATGCACCGAGATTTCATCAGCTACATTAACGCAAAAAACACTGATATGTCATCTATCTTTGGAAATGTTGTAAAGGCGTTATAAACTAATGTCTTGAGCAGCAAGTTTGCAGTTAGACTTCACAGAAAAGTGAATATTTTCTACACTCCGTATTCGCCTGTATTGCTTCATTTCAGTGAATATGAAAGGCGACTTAAAAATTATCTGAATTATCACTTGAGGTAAAATTGTTAGTCTTATATAATACAATCTGTTAATTTACTTGAATTTTTCTCATGTTTCGCCATTATTTATAGCTTCACATAATGTTAAGTGAATACTCTTTTTTCTTACTATTCTTTAATAAGGATGCAAATTCTGATTTACATACGTCATTAGCCGTGGAAGCTGCTGCTGAACTACTTGCAGACATTGGTGATGACAATACATCAGCGTATTCAGACCAAAATTCAGCGAGCGTTTCGAAAGAAACTGATCAGGCAGTCAGAAATTTGATTGATATCAAGCCTAATGTATTATCCGAAAATGTCTCTTCTAATACTGATCATGGAAAAGATTTCAGAGGAAATTCAGGATCTTATGAAGATCCAGTACATGCTAAAGGTTAGTTTAGTGGTCTCTTTTTTGAATACTTGTGTTTGGTCTGTTTCATCTACCAATTTTATGTTAATGATAAGCTATTGTATTGTATTGATAACCAAATCAACGATGTGATAGATTTCGTTCAAGGATTGATTTATTATTGAACTGCAAACACAAGAAAACCAGGCTGGCTTCAGACCTGGTCGTGGCTGCATCGATCACATATTCACTATTCGTCAGGTTCTAGAACACAGGCATGCTTATCGGCGTCCGACAATGGTGGTCATTCTTGACTTGAAAGCAGTATTTGACTCTGTAGACCGAGAGGTTCTGTGGCAGTGTCGGTCATTGAAAGGCGTACCTCAGAAGTACATAAACCTTGTGAAGGCTCTTTACTCGAACACTACTAGTCGAGTAAGAGCTTATGGTGAACTGCCATTTGTTTTTGCAACCTCAAGTGGTGTCCGTCAAGACTGTCCATTATCACCATTTTTGTTCAACTTCATCATAGACATGGTGATGGAAATAATGCTCTCATCGACTGAATTCTCGAGCATTGATCTCATACCAGGAGGTCTACTTTTGGACTTAGCATACGCAGATGATAAATTCCTGTTTGGTGAAGACGCTGATAAAATGCAGAGTCTATTGATAGCACTGAGCAACAATGTCAAAATGTTTGGGATGTGTTTCTCCCCTTCTAAATACAAGTTGTTGATTCAGGAATAACCTGTATGAACACCTGAACTAAGGATAGGGAGTGAAGTAGTCGAACGCGTCCCAGTATACACAGCAAACAGACTGCAACGATGGGAAGCTACACTCGGGTTGTGACTTCAAGATCAATTACCAGCCCACTATTGATTTTAGACAAGTTGACGCTTTATCTAGACTGATTGGTTCACAAGCGAAACAAGAAGAGTATACTTTGGTGGCAGCAATTGAGACGGAAACAACAGTACACGGAGTATTGGAGGAATTCAAAAGATTAGAATTTGGGAAAACACAAAGAGTGGATGCACCTGCCCAATCGCAATCGATTTGGGGCCACGTCATTCAAGGTCTCTATCCATCGGTTGCTATCATCTCGCAGATCCCAATCAGGTAGTCTACACCTACCAACATGGCTCAGTTCACTTGTCAGTGACTTCATGGATTTGTGCCATGTTTTGGTCTGACTGCCTCTAGCTTTCTTCCAACCTACTCCTACATCACAAAACATCGCTCGTCGGGGCAGTCGGTGGTTGGGCATACGTAACACGTGTCCCAGTCATCTCAACTGTTGAAGTTTCACTACTTCATCAATTGATTTGTCATCCTTACCTAGTATCCGTTTCCTAACAACTGCATTAATTACTCGATGGTTCCAGGATATACGAGCAATGCTTCGAAGACACCTGATCGAATACTAGAAACCTACGAATATCCTCTACTGTTACCGGCCACGTTTCACTGCAATAAAGTAGGACAGAACGAACTGCTGCTCAGTAAACCCGTCATCGTCGCTGAATACCAAGAAAGTCGGAATGCCACAGAAAACTAGTTATCAAGTTGCAAGTAGACCCGAAGAAATCTTATTTCTTGAAAGGGGGAAGGTGTTTAGGAGACCCGGAAAGTTCCTGGAAAAAACCCAAAAAGGGGCTTCAAAATGCTGAGAAACATCTTATCCAGTCATCATCCATTAGTAGTTTTGCCAGAAACATTTGGAATGTCACATTTCCGATTGGATGATTACCTATCCTGCTGCTATGTTTAGCAGTGTTCCAGAAGCCCAAGGCCGTCTAAATGCTATATGTACCCTAGATTTTCTGTACATAAACTAACCTTACGGTTAAGTGTTCTTCCTATATTTTACACCTTTACTCTCGTGTCTAAGTTGCCATGTAGATTTAGCCTGGGGGATAATAGAAGAGCTTAGGAAACCGAATAATGCGTTCAGTGTGAAAATTTATCAATACTTTTATCCCAATTTTATATGTAGATGGGAAGGAAGGAAATGGTAGTTCTCTTACTGATCCTTTGGAAACATTAGCGTTAGTTGCTGCTCGCCGAAGTGGAAGTGGTGATGATCACGGTAAGTCCATAATTTTCAATGTATTACTTAAAATCCTAAGATTTTTTTGGCTAAATACATATTGTTACGTTTTACAATTTTATTTGCTACTCTATTTCACTTCATTCCGATTCATGTTATTTAAGTTTTAACACTCTTGACAAATCAGTGTACGGACAAAATGGTTTCCATTGCCACGAGGATAATCCAACTTCCCTCCATCAACCCTAATATTCCTTATAAATTATAAAACGTGTTTTGCAAAGGTTGATTTATAAGCAATAAGAAATTGTCAATCCAAGAAACAAGTTGAATTTCAAATATTAGTCTTAAGGTGTTAGTGAACTTTCTCAGTTCTCTACTCACAAACTCACTGAGACAGAGTATGAACTTACAGGACGTCGATGCATAAAGTAAAAACTCGTGGTATCACATTGACAATGATTTGGATCCCATTCTTCTCAGATAGAAATGACCATAAACTCTGAATGAACACAACACATACTTACGCCTGTTACTCCCAATGAAGCATAGGTCGCCGACCAGCATTCTCCAATCCATTCTGTCCTGGGCCTTCTTTTCTAATTCCATCCAATTTTTGTTCATTCTTCTCATGTCTATCTCCATTTCCCGGCGTAATGTGTTCTTTGGTTTTCCTCTTCTCCTCCATTGGCCTTGAGGATTCCATGTGAGGGCTTGTCACAACACATACTTGTTCGTTTTTATTCAACTTTTGGGACTAAAACATCTTTTTGTAGGATCGATATAAAGGTACTTCTCCTGAAAACTAAGTGGGATTTCCTCTATACTCTAGTGTCAGAACATGTATGCCCAGTGAATTCATATCTCTACGCGTTAACAACAGAATTCTTTAAGGATACTGGGAAGCGTATTAGTTAATTTGATTGATAGTTAACACCTAAGATTCTATCATTATCTGGTTACCCAAAATTGCTGACCGTCCCAGTTCATACAGAAGCAATTGTATATCGGTTATTCAATGATTGAAAATTTCAGAATTTCACCAAACTAAGCAGTTGTCACTGAAGGAAGACACTTACTGAATTAATCAATCAATAGGGCCCTACTTAATGATTGTCAAGCTAAGAGTATATTTCAGGAACAACTTGGAAAACAGTTAGACAGCCATGTAGGTGATGTCCACCCCGATGCAGCATGGAATGATATCAGAAAAGCTGTGGAAACAGCAGTGATATCTGCTAGTACGGTAAACCGTAAGGCTAGGGAGCAACACTGGATCTCAGCAGCACCTACCGCACTGATAGATGCTCGAAAACTCATTCCATCTGGCTCTGAACATAACGAAGAGCGGAGTCAGCTTAAGCGCAAGCTGACAAGAAGCCTACGCAATGATTGTGAACAGTAGTGGGTAGCGAAAGCAAGAGAGATGGAAAAGGCAGCGGCAATAGGTAGTAGCAGACAATTGTTCAGACTTGTTAAGGAAACCGGTATTAGGTATCCGACTGTTAGCGAAACAATCTCAGAGAAAGATGGACATATTATACATTCTCAATCCAGGAGATTGGATCGATGGGCAGAACACTGGCCTTCAGTCACACTTCGGTTTCCCACGATCTCCAGTCAACCTGAATGGCAAGTTAATTTAGGTCCTCCGACTCTTTACGAAGTTGAAAAAGCTATAGGAAATCTGAAGCGAGGGAGAGCAGCAGGCCCTGACAGGTTTACTCCTGAGATTTTTAAGGATGGTGGTCCAGTATTAGCAGTGAGATTAACCGAGGTCTTAGGTAGGATTTGGGAATTGGACGTAATCCCATCTGACTGGTCTCAATCACTGAGTGTGCCAGTCTATAAGAAAGGACAAAAGTCCTCTTGTGACAATCATAGAGGAATCAGTTTGACTAATATAGTGTCTAAAATATTAGCTTCAATAATACTTCGACGCCCAACTAAAGCTCGTGAAGAGCAGACTAGAGAAAACCAGGCTGGTTTTCAACCTAGACGTGGTTGTATAGACCAGATATTCACCCTACATCAGGTCCTAGAACATAGACACACATTCAGACGCCCCAAAATAGTAGTATTTCTTGACCTTAAAGCAGCATTCGACTCTGTTGATCGTGAGGTTCTGTGGCAGTGTTTGTCATTGAAAGGAGTACCAAAGAAGGACATTAACTTTGTAAAGGCTTTCTACTCGGACACAACTAGTCGAGTGAGAGCTTATGGCGAACTGTCATCAGAATTGATTATCTCAAGTGGTGTTCGTCAGGGCTACCCACTCTCTCCATTCTTGTTTAACTTTGTCATTGACGTACTTTTAGAGATGACACTTTCCTCATCTAAATTTCCGTGGGTTGAACATCTACCGAGAAATTCACTTTTTGACTTAGAGTACGGGGTCACTGAGACCCACCCCTAGTCGGATCCTCTTTTTCAGGTACCTCCAGAAGAACCCTTCCACGGTGTGGGCAGCAGTCACACGGAGCCCAACCGAGTAGTCTGCATCTACCAACATGGCTCAGACCAAAAGTTAGTGATTCTGTGGACTGATACCACGTTTCGGTTTGGTCGAACCTAACTGTTTTCCATCCGTCTTCAACACTAGTCAGCATTGCGCATTGTGGTAATCAGTGTTCAAACACACGTAACACGTGGCCCAACCATCTCAGTCGATGAAGATTTAGAACTTGATCAACTGATTTACCATCATTCCCTAATACCCTTTGTCTAACCTCACTATTACTTACTCGGTGATCCCAGGAGATGCGAGAATTATTTTCAAGACATCTGTGATCAAATACTAATAAATCATGAGTATCCTCTACTCTTAATGGTCACGTTCCGCAGTCGTAAGGTAGGACAGAACGTACTGCTGCGCAGTAAACTCGTCCCTTACTTGATTGACGGATATCTCGCCTTCATCATAGGTGACGTAAGTTGGCAAAGGCCAAACGAGGTTTTCAAATCCGTGCTGAGATTTCATCAGATATCAACCGATTACGACTGATCAGACTTCCAAGTTAGGTGAAATTGTCAACGCGTTTGACTACTTCACCCTCTGTCCTTAGTTCAGGAGTTGATACAGGTCAGTCGTGAAGCAACAACTGCCATCTAGAAGGAGAGAAGCGCATTCCAAGAGACTGTATTCTATCAGCGTCTTCACCCAGTACTTACATGGGTGACTTACAGTGCCCGAATACTAAGCCCAACAACAATGTCCTAATTGATGGGAGCATGAATAACCTATGAGCTAATATCCTCCAATCGCGTATGCCATTTTATGTTCATTTTGCGTTCATATTCTCTACACATTATGTCATTGCGTTTTTCTGTTGATTTGCATTGTATTCATCGATTTTAACAATCGAATAATTTCGTCTAATTAAATCACAGAAGACCTTCATCCATAACAATTGGTCTTTTAAGTTTGTAATATCAATGTTTTCCAAGAAATTCATTTTTGTCGTATTTATCTATTTTTCTGACAGAAAATGATTCAGTCATCTCACATTCTACAGTTTATTCCAATTCTGATTCACATGTTATTTGTAATTCAAATTCTGGTCGATTAGTTGCTGTTTCTCTCCCTTATTCTCGCCTGTCACCATTATCTTCCACTTTAGGAGGGGGACAAGTTTCTCGTTCTGTGACAGGTTTGGTCGCGAATTCCCATTCAATCGTAACAACATCTACCAATTGTTCTTTAATAAGTTCTTCGACTACTGTAACACCTGGTACATTGATTAGTCGAGGCGACAATTCTTGGCATGACGTTGGTGTTATTAAGTCGACAAATTATACTGTAACAATGTATTCAGCCTGTACAAATGATGCTGGTGTACATATGGAAGTACGTTTATAGTCATGACTTATACTTTGGAAAAATATCATCTTGCAACTTTGACAATAATTATTTTTTGAAAAGTGATAAAATATAAGTAAATAAAGGATCTAGGTGATTGAATGACAGTAAAGGATAAGGAAAAGTTTACCTCTTCACGTCACTTGTGTATTTAGACCTAAGCTTATGAGAACATTGTGGAGTATAGACCCATTATTCTTTTTTTCCCATGAATCACAGTCTGTTTATTATGTTGATAAACTACGGATCAGTGATGTCCACTAGACAGTGTTTTAGTGATAATAACTATGAGAAGCGATGTCTCACTAGTTTTTAAACCACGTTGTATTCAGCTAGTAGTTTCCAGTTTCGAATCCTGTCCCACCTGCCTTGGTTTAGACAGCCAGGTTTTATTCACAAGCCATCACGCTAAATAGCGTGACTGAAAGCTGACCAAGTAAATCTGTACTTGGTAAACGAGTCACATTATCATGTTCTTATTAATAATACTTTCGATATTAGTTGAATAAATATTCTGTACTTGGAACCGTATATTAGCTTTTGATGATTGCTGTTCGTGATAGTAATAAAAAATTGTTGTTTGTTACTTACCCTTAAAGATATGTTTTAGTCTGCCAGATTGATAAAACAGTTCTCTCTTGCATTTTACATAATCAGTATTGATTAATATTAGAGATGTTAACTAATCACTGTCCATTGAACATAGTACTATCATTACAACTTTAACCTGCTTTTTGATTGTTGAGCAAATTAACATAAAATAAGAAACGAGCGTTCATTCATAGAAACTGGTCCGTTCCTGTAACAAATGGTATTTGATTGCATTTGTCTGTTTCAGAAACCATTCTAATAACACATTTCATGATTTCTTTTAGATCAATCCATATTTTATTGTATTACTTTTTATTGTTTAAATAAAAAAACAGGCTATCACCGCATTACAGGGTCCCAATGGGATTGGACCGAATGGACTAACTACACAGGGTCCTAAATTCCAACTCGCTCCTGGAACAGCCTACAAATTCCGTGTTGCAGGCCTCAATGCTTGTGGTCGAGGTCCTTGGTCGGAGATAAGCGCATTCAAAACCTGTTTACCAGGTTACCCAGGGGCTCCCAGTGCTATAAAAATAACTAAATCGGACAGTGGTGCACATTTAACGTGGGAAGCGCCTCAGAACACGGCGGGAAAGATTACAGAGTATTCTGTCTATTTAGCTGTCAAGTCTCAGACTGCAGGACAAGATTCTACAGAGAGCAAGGTCAGTTGTTATTTTGTTGGTGAAGAACGTACTAAATATTTTGTGCAAATTTACCTGTAAATCGCTGTTTTTTTTCTACATCACTAACACTGAATCCATTAATTTTCATATTATAATGCTCGCACGATCGATAGCCTACGTAAATACTAAAGGTCATTGTCTAGTCTGTTAATGCGTTCCCTAAACTTTATAATATAATAAGAATTTGATATAGAACAATAGTTCATGTAGTTTTGTAACTATTTTCACAGATGGGAAGTATTCTAAAATTCGAAGAAGTCTGTGTATTATGATTTTTCTTATTACGACCCAGTTACTCTTGTTGCTTAGTATTCTTAAACAGGTTCTCACTCGACACGTTCCCAAATCAGAACACAGATGGACAGGAGCGTAATCATACTCCAAATAACAAGGTTGGATGAAAGTAGGAATCACAATAAGAAAAATGTTGATATATTTGTAATTTTTACATAAGAAGATTCTGGAATTGTCTCCAGGTCTTCGTAGCGCTGACTGGTTGGGAGATAGCCAATAAACGTGCCCCAATACAATCCTGCACGGAACATGCTTTAATCCAATTTATATCCCGCTAACACTATATATATAATTCGGAGCATTTTATGAACCTCAATTAGGTAGACAAATAATTTTAATTAGATTTTGGTATGCTGGTCACATTATTAAGTCGTTCCATCTAAAATTTCACTCATCCGTTCGTGCTGGTTTTACAGTCTTCGTTCTATGACATTTGTAGAGGTTAATTCTTCTCTATTTGAATCTAATAGGTGATATCCCGTTAACTAAGTATTTAAGTAAGCCTGTTTTCGTAGTTATTATAATGAATTTACTCGAGAATACTTAAAAGCCAGAAGAGCAGTTGTAGGGATGGTATTTTGTTAATAATTAGTAAAGTCTGCAAACACGCACGTAAATGAGACTAGGTGTGTGTGTGTGTCCGTTCAATATGCTTAGCGTACATCCAGCAAGTAGAATATTCATGATAGTTGTTAAAATAACAAATTAAGTTAGATCACTATCATGTTCATCATATGAATATTGTTTGATTGGCGAATTTTAAATTTCAGATTGATACAAATCTCTATACTGTGAAGTGTATACACACTAATCATATGTAACAAAATTAGGAAAATTTAAAAACTATATGAGCTAAGATAAAGTGAACTGGAGGATTAACTTAAAGTTTTGTTTAAATTACCGTCGCTATTTTTTGATGCTATTATGGAAATTGACTCAAGTTGTATTCGTAGTTGAATGCTTAAGAAATTTCATACCAACAAACTTATTGTAATGTGCTTTAAAGCTTCAAAATATTTACTGACTTGTGTAGACACATAAAACGTTTTACAGCTGTAACTATTTACATAACATATGTAGTAGTATTAGTTCTCTAGCGTGATCTGTAGCGTTAGCTTGGTTTCCCTATGGTATCCACAGTGTGATTGACTGTGTTTCTTTTACCTCCCTACTAATTCTTTCACTGTTTATCTATAGGTCGGTTCTACACCATCTGGTATGGCATTCGTTCGTGTATATTGTGGTCAATCACCCTCAGCAACTGTTACTTCTGCAACATTGGCTACTGCTCATTTAGATCTTAGTTCAAAACCTGCTGTGATCTTTCGGATTGCTGCTCGCAATGAAAAAGGATATGGACCGGCGACACAAGTTCGTTGGCTTCAAGATGTATCTAATACACCTTCCTCTGTTGTTGGAATAAGTCCTCAACCCATCAATTTCCAAGCAACAAATGCCTCACAGCCGGTTACCAAGCGTGCTCTGAGTTTAGGAACATCACAAGAAGGGTAAGGCCATTGAGGTTGAACATAATAGCTTATAACTATTGCTTAGTTGCTAGTTGAACTCGCGTGGTAATACGTATATGATCCACTGGTGGTGAGATGAATTCGGGTAGATTTTGTATTACGAGTTTACTTACCAAGTATCACTGCAAATATATTTGTCGAATAGAAGGAAACATTTGACGCAATCGGCAAGGCTCTTGATAGGCTAAGTAAATGGGAAGAGTGTCCAACAGGTTCATATTATCAATGAAACATATAGCTAAGCTTTAACAGTCATGGAAAACATTATAAATTAGCGACAATTGGAATAACTTTTCAATGATCTGCAGTTAATTTTTTAGGATTTGGAGTGGTGTGCGTAAGGGCATTGATATCTGCATTTATTCGGCTGAAATTTAGTTACTAACAAGCTAGATACTTATGTAAACAGAAAAGCGACTAATCTCCTTATAGTTTGATGCAAAAGTAGCAATAACAATTAATTCATAGGCACATCATCGATTGAACAATGTTTGGAACTAGCTATCAATAAAGGATCACAAATCAGTCGATGAGGTCGAGAATCTTCATCAACTACAGATGCCTAACCAGTATTTACTTTGACGCTTAGTGTTGTCTGACTGAACGCTAGGGGTGTCCAAAGCAAAACGTGGGGTTAGCGTAGTCGTTGACTGTTGATCTGAATCATGTCGGTAGTTGCTGACTTGGGGTCAGCGTGATTATCATAACCAATAGTTGGATACGTTAGATGACATTGCTCAAAATGACTTAATGGCGCAGATGCATACACAATTTCTCTTACTCTCAGATAATGGGTCCTAATTTTCTTTCATACTCTTCCATCTTTTCGAACTATATTCCTAATGTTCAGTCTTCAGCATCGCTACCACATCAATTTCAGTTTCTTTACCACTCATCACATTATGTTAATGAGATATACAAGGACTTAGTCCAGTCCCACTGCGATGCTATCCGATAATGACGACCAACTGATATCGGCTTAACAATGAACTCTTATTCTAAAATTAGGTATTGTTTTACACATGGTTGTATTCATCATTTAAATCATCGAGTCTCGTTCATGAACAGTTTTGTACAATCTACGTTTTTTTCTATATATAATTATTTCCAGAGCTTTTACTACACCAGTCAAGCGATTAAAATCAGATGATCAATTATAGATGTGTTTGTTGCTCATATACATGTTTTCTCCTTCAAAGTCAACTGCACATTCCTTTCTTCATCCTTTGGAATTAGTGTGCAAGTATGGTTTTTAATTACTATTATCATTATTTGGGAAATTTATACAAAATCCATCGCATTGCCCCCCCCTCTTATTTGCATTTCTAAGATTGTCTACTTTCTATCGTTTCGTATTTGTTATTGTTATTCTGAAGCACTAAAAACTCTGCAGTATCTGAATAAAATATTTTAGTGTTTCTGAAATTTTGTTTTTCAACTGTTAATGATAAATTATTATTATTTTTTCATCATTTGTTCAAGCATAAAATCTGCTGAAAAATGTACATATATATATACAAATTCATATGTTGTCCTATTTAATTTACTTGAAACATTGATTTGCTTATTTTTGTGAATTCATGTTGTTTTGTTTTTGTTTTCTTCCTGACATTTTGTACAATTGTTTATTATTATTATTATTTCCTCTTATAATTTCTTTGTACTTATTATTATATGTGTATATTTATTCACTGGCATGTTTTTATTCAACTCGTTTTCGTTACTGTTTATACATTTTCTTGATTACAGTCATTTTCATTACTGTCCCCATATGGGCATAACAACAATGGTAATTATTCTCTTACTTTTGAAAAATAAGTAGTGAGAAGCTTAATAACTTAAATATATAAGAACAAACCTTATTACTCATTGCCTTTGGTTTCGACAGTTTGTGTACGTTTAAGTTTAGTTTATTATATTGTGTACAGTTTTGGTAGTGTTTGCTTGGTTATGTCTTTTGTTAAGTTAACGATAAAAAAAGTTTATCTTACTTGTACAGATTGACTATTCGATTAATGTCATTGTCCTCAGTACACAAAGACTTCTGATGTGTATTTTTGAAAGCATCAAATTTCAGCTAGATTCTTGCATTTCCCACCATTATGGTAGCTAACCATTCTTATGTTTTGTATTTAGAAGAGTATGAAAAGTTTTTATCTACTGTCTCCGACAAAACTCAACACAAAATTTTATGGGTACAATAAGAAATTTAATCGGTCTGTTGCAAACTGATAATACGTTAAAACAAGGCAATAGACGGGTGTGGATATTTATTGCGAGAGGTTACATATGCATATACATAACCCTTAATCATAAATGTCTTCGAAGTATTGCCCGTATATCCTGGGACCATCGAGTAATTAATGCAGTTGTTAGGAAACGGATACTAGGTAAGGATGACAAATCAATTGATGAAGTAGTGAAACTTCAACAGTTGAGATGACTGGGACACGTGTTACGTATGCCCAATTACCGACTGCCCCGACGAGCGATGTTTTGTGGTGTAGGAGTAGGTTGGAAGAAAGCTAGGGGCAGTCAGACCAAAACATGGCACAAATCCATGAAGTCACTGACAAGTGAACTGAGCCATGTTGGTAGGTGTAGACTACCTGATTGGGATCCGCGAGATGGTAGCAACCGATGGATAGAGACCTTGAATGACGTGGCCCCAAATCGATTGCGATTGGGCAGGTGCATCCACTCTGTGTTTTCCCAAATTATAATCTGAATTCATGTTCCTTTTATCGTCTTTCCAAATTTATTTCGCTGGATTATACTCCTTGGAAAACATCTTCAAGCCCTAACGTTTCCGATTACTGTTTATACTCTTACTACCTCTAACATTACGCGATTTGAATCGACAATTGTGTCTGTGTACTAATGTGGTATGGCAACTCGAACTGATGTGCGAACCTACGAAGTTCTGCGTTGCTGCTAACTCAGTGCATTTATTCATCCGTTTGCATCTTCTAATGTTCTGCCAACATCGTGACTTCGAAGGACTGAAACTTACTGTTCGACTGTTGTTGCAGCTTTGACGCCGTATTCTGATACACATTACTTACAAACGTCCTTGTGGGCGGCATCAACCAAAATATCAATATTGACCGTAACTCCACTAATTTCCCTAGACCTAGTAACAGTGCCGTGTAACACTCTGTTGACTGGTGATCATAATACATTTCGAGTCTTTTTATGGTGAAGCAGTACATAGTGTGATTCCCGGACGAGTTTATTGGTATGTTCTTCAGTGATTATTATATAGGTGAAGATTATAAATGGTCAAGCATTCATGGTTACTGAGATTAGTAGCAGTGTTGGTCTTGTCAACCTACTGTCAAATTTGCTATTTCATCCCAACTGGTGACACCAAATATTATATAATATTCTGGGTATTTTAAACTACGAATCGCTATATTTTCCCCAAACAACAATGCTGAAACACCGTTTATAACAGTAAGTTAATGCGTCAGTTTGTATACACGCAAATTCAGATAGACATACTTTCGCCGTAGGTCCGATCAACTACTTTTATTTTGAACACGACCCATTGCTGTCATTCATTCAGTGTTGCAAAAACAATCCTAACATATATCACTAATGATGAAGTCGTAAACCTTTATCATTACATCATTGATGTAAGCTAGGCAGCTACCATCGCCGGTTATGACTGCCACCAACGTCTGTCCGGAGATTACATTTCGATACTCCAGTATCAGGTGGACTGAAGTTAAGCGACCTCTGCTTTAGGTGTTGTTTCTTATCTGCTCGTATTGTTGGGAAAGTTACGTAATATTCCTAGGCACAGTAGTTGCAAAGCTATATGATGTGTCGTGGTAGAATTTGCGCGACAGGAAAACCTATGGCGATCATTAGAGTATGACATGCGACAACAGCCGGTTCCTCGGTGGAGAAGACTGGAACTGTTTGCGTTTTCCGCAAAAGTTCTGTAGTCTAATGCTCCTTATTCTTCAAAATGTGTTGCTAAGCCGCTGTCGAATTGCGCGGTCGTCATACAGTTGTTAACACTTGAGCATTGTCTTATTACAAGCTTATTAAAGTTGGGCTCTAAAAAAATTGGCGAAAAGTCTACAAAAGGTAATGTCCAAGAAAATGAATATGTATGACATACAACTCCGGAAGAAATTGTTTTTTTTCTGTTAACTACTGAGAATACTTGATGTTATGGCGTATGGAAATAGTGATACCAAGCTCTTGGATTTCTGCGTTTGATGTGCATGAACACAATAGACCATCGCTTACGAAGTTAAACGGGAAGGGGATAGATGGTCTTGGAATGAAAGGATATCGGGAGTGCCTCAAGTGATGTCAATAGTCTACTATGTTCGTTAAAAGTAATGATATGAGTGTTGAATACCCGTTGGAATCTTCTGTAGGATTATCTACTGCTCACAGTAGTATCAGAATCGTTATAATTCCTGTATACCAAAAACTTATGTCATTTTTATGACACCTAAATATTTGGTTTGCACATCCGTTAATTCTATAAGCACTTTGGGGATCTGGTGGAAATCTCAAGGTTAAAGTAGTTGATTCTAGACCAAATTTTCAATTGATAGCTTTTAATCATCTTGCAGTTCTACTGAAAGAAGTATAACTGGTTTACACCTTGTATTGCTTAGATTAAACAAACACATTCCAAAAACGAATTATATGAAAAATCCAGTAATGCGATGATCTAGTAGTATTTACAAAATCTGTACAAAGAATGGTAAACTACTCTGGTTCACTGTTTGTATCTTCTGAATCCACTTCTTTACTTTGACGTGATCGTTTAGTTTTTGGCAATTTGTTATTGTTTGATGAGTCTTTTCTTTTTTTCTTTACTTGTTTCTGCTTTTCCTTGATACGTAGGTTCTAAAACAAATTTAATAAAAATTGGAACCAATTTTGATGGTATACAGCATGAAAAATGTGAAACGTAATGTGAGACGGGGTTCAAACTCTTGACTTAGTGGCCGAAAGTTCAACTCTTTGGTCATAAAGCCACTGTTTTAATCTCCATAATGTAATTTAATTACTGGTTTTCTAGCATTACATATAGAAAGTATGTGTTAGAGAAAATTTATCCGAAAAAAAAGGAGTCCTCTCAAACCAAGCAACTGGCTACTACCTGTATTTCATTTGTTCATTAGTCACGGTCAATCTGAATGAGAGGTTAATATCGGCTCTTGAACTCATCAAAGCTGACAAGGCCGCAACTAAACTCAAGGCAAGAAAGATCTGTTGGTATTAATGGGTTATGTTCTGAGGTCGTTAAGAACACATAAATATTGGTACAAAGGGGTACCGCATACATATGCCCCACACAAGTCAAGCGACTTGTGTATGGGCTGTGATACTGCCCAGACTGAAGCAAGTGGTTTAGCAGCTAGTTTAGACGTTATTCAATCAAACTGGTTACGATCTTACATTTTAGAACAGAAGTCTTCATATGGTGTCCGGAAATTAGTCTAACCAATACATGTTCGTTCTAGGCCCTGTTAATGATTACTAAAAAAAATTATGGAAGACCCAAAACTGCACAATTATATATATATATATATATATATATATATATATATATACTGGGAACCATTAACTTACTGCACGAGCTTCTTTGTCAGCTTGTACTACTTGTTGTCTTAACTGTGAATTCAAGCAATCTGTTCCAGGCCAAGGTAACTGAGGAATTCTTTCGTTTAAAGCTGACTCTATAGCTTTCAAACGTGTAACTGAATAAGGAGTAACAAATGTAATAGCACGTCCGTGTCGTCCAGCACGAGCAGTTCTTCCTACTCGATGTATGTATGCTTTTGCAGAATCAGACCACGATGGCCGACGTGGAACATCGTAGTTGATAACAAGATCAACATCTGGAAAGTCTAACCCCCTTAATGAAGGTGTTTTTTAAGAAGGCGGGAAGTAAGACAGATATTTAGTGTATTTTGCTTTTTATTATTTAAATACAAAATTCAAAAAATAATGAAAACTAAAGAGCATGGGAAAGTAGCTTACTAGGAAGAACATACGACAAAACTTTGAGGAAAACGTTTAGAAATCTTGCCCTGGGGCTAATTCTGTTCAATCTCTAGTCAGATCGTGGGGGTTTACGTAACTGAGCGCGTCCGATTATCATTGTCTGGGTGGTGGCTGACTA